TTGGCTCTCTGCACGTGCACGCTACCATACGCGCACGTGCCGGAGAGAACAGGGATTAATTTGGGGCCGTACACTGCGGAGGGGGGTGAAAGCGAGGAAGAGCGGGCGAGAGCGAGTAAGGGCGGGCGAGAGCGAGTAAGGGCGGGCGAGAGCGAGTAAGAGCAAGTCGAAAGCGATAAAGGGCGGGCGAGAGTAAGAGCGGGAGAGAGCGAGTAAAGGCGGGCGTGAGCAAGAGCGAGCGAGAGAGAGTGAAAGCGAGTAAGAGGGAGAGCGAGTAAGAGCGAGAGCGAGTAAGAGCGAGAGCGAGTAAGAGCGAGCGAGACGGAGCGATATATGCCTTGAGGGCGAGTGAAAGTAAGGGGCCGTTCACAAATTACGTCACGCAAATTTCGGGTGGTTTTGACTCCCCCCCTCCCCCACGTCACGCGGCTAACCTAACCTTCTAATGCTTTCAGGATAGGACCGTCACGCGGGCAGAGACCCCCTCCCCCCCGTCAGATGCGTGACGTAATTTGTGAACGGCCCCTAAGTGCGGATGCGGGGGCAGGCGCGGCCACTTGCTCCGAGCGCGAGAGTCGGCAACATACGCCCCTGCTGCCCTGGGCTGCAGCGTGGCGCCGGCGCCCGGAGGGGTGTGAGAATGGCGCAGTGCGGGGGAGGAGGAGGAGGAGGAGGAAGAGGGGAGGATAAAGCGCACTTTCACTTTGGCGGCGAGGCGATATTGAAATATTACTGCGTCGTGGGGAGAGGTGCGCTCCTTACTTTAATCTCCCCTCCCCTCTCTTTCTCTCTCCTCCTGCGCTCGTTCCTGGCAAGGTTGCTCCGGTTGGATCAGCTTGCTGCTGCTGCTGCTCTTTCTCTCTCGCTCTCTCTCGCGCTCGCTCGCTCTCTCTCGCTCGCTCCGGGGTGGAATTCCAGCCGGAAGTGACAGATGGGGTGCGGGCCCACAACCCCTCTCGTTCCCACACCCTTCCCTAACTAAGTGAGTCTCTGCGGAGCGCCGCCGCAGCAGCAGCAGCAGCAGCCGTGCGCTTTGAGGCGCGAGGCCGTGCCGTGCCGCGACACTCCACAAAAGAGGACGCAAGCAAAGCAGAGGCTCCTCTCTCTCTCTCTCTCTGCTCTGCTCCAGGGCTCACACCGGCGACCTGACCTCCTGGCGGGGGTGTGCGCCGGGGTCGACGACGCCCCCCTACCTCCCTTGCCCGTGGCACGCGGGGGGCCAACGCCCTCGCCTGCTGCCGCCCCCAGCCGTGCCGCCCGTGCTGGAGTCAACCTCTGGGCCGTTCATCCAGGACAGCAGGACAGCCAGCAAACGCCCCCCGCATGAGACAAACCTCCAAGGGACGCTCCCCCTGGACCCGCGCTGTGTGCTGGGGCAGCAGGCAGCTGGCCCCGCCCCGCCCCCGCCCTTCTCACCCTCCCCCACTGCCTCTCCTCCTTGCACAGCGCTCCGCCCGTTCCGCCGCCCCCGTGGGGCCGGCGCCGGCAATAGGGGTGCGAATGACAGCGTGCTCCTTGGTGATAGCAGAACATCTGCACCTTGCTGCGCTCCCCTCCGCTCCCCCTCCCTCTCTATCTCTCCCTCTCGCTCCCTCTCTCTCTCTCCCTCTCTCCCCTCCGACTCGACCGACATACACAAGCGGGCGCTAATAGGTCTCCCCGCCCTTTATGAAATTTCCCGCCGTTGAGCGCCGCGCCGCCGGTGGCCAGTCATTTAGGCCCCTCCACGGCCCGGCAGCGCTACCCTGCTGCCCGCGGGCGGCCGGGGCGGTCTCCTTCCGCTTTTAGCCCTCCCCTCCCCTCCTCCGCCCTCCTCTGCCCTCCTCTGCCCTCCTCTGCCCTCCTCTGCCCTCCTCTGCCCTCCCCTCCCCTCCCCTCCGGTACCTGCCCTGCGCCCCTGCTGGGGCCGAGCCGTGGAGCTAGCTACACACAGCAGCCCCCGGGGCGCCGCGCGCGCGCGCCCGCTGCTGGAAAAGCCATTGGCGCAGAGAGAGTGGCGACGTGCCTCGGAGCCAAGCATTTAGTCACCTTTGTGCCGCTTTTGTAAGCGCGCACTCTGTGTGTGGGATAGAGAGAGTGAGCGAGAGAACGAGCGAGAGAGCGAGCGAGAGAGCGAGTGAGAGAGAGAGCGAGAGAGAGAGCGAGAGCGAGAGCGAGAGCGAGAGCGAGAGCGAGAGAGCGAGCGAAAGAGAGAGGGAGAGAGAGCCAGAGATTTGGGGGGGGG